TGTAGTTACTGATGCCGATCATCTCAAAATGATTTCTTGATCAGTCAAACATCTCAGTATCAACTCAAGCATTTCTCATTTTATTTTATTTTTTTCTGAGAAAATGTATTTATTTATTTAACAGATGCTGTTATCTAAAGCTACAGCAAAGATGATGTATTGATATATAGCCATTATCATTAACTAAAACCATATAAAGCATTTTCATTACTTTAAATAAAAGAAACTTTAACTGAAATAAAATAAAAAATAAAATAAAATTTGAATTTATTTGATTTCAACTCATTTTAATTTAGTTTAAGTAGTACTAAAATAACAAAACAAAAAAAATTGAAATAATAAAAATATAATAAAAATATATAGACATTAAAAAATAACAAAAGCACATCAATATTACTAAAATGATAACTAAAATTAAAGTGAAAACAGAAGATATAACAGTAAAATCTAATTCAGGATATGAACAGAAATGTCAGTGATGGTTGAATGAGAGAGTACAGACTCATAGACTTATTTGAGCTGGGGTGTGTTTTGTTGATGAAGTGTGATGTGAATGGTGTGTTTGTGTGGTACAGTAGCTCATCTGTGTGTGTGTGTGTGTGTGTGTGTGTGTGTGTGTGTGTGTGTGTGTGTGTGTGTGTGTGTGTGTGTGTGTGTGTGTGTGTGTGTGTGTGTGTGTGTGTGTGTGTGTGTGTGTGTGTGTGTGTGTGTGTGTGTGTGTGTGTCAGACGCTCGTGCCAGTCTTCACAGCCGCTCATTGTGGAGTGTTCACTGAAGAGGACACACTTCACCACGTCTGAGCGTCACACACACTCAACACACACTGCATCATGTATGTGTGTGAGAGAGAGAGAAATCAGTGTGTCTGATGACGAGTCTCTGCTGATGACAGCTCTTTATATAAAGCTGGATATATAGTCCTAAGTATGCATACAAACAGTTCACTCACATAAAACTATACACTATATAGCAAATCCCAACTGTGTGATTAGTTATTGTCCAGCTCTAATCTGCTAATGTGACTATAATGGCAGATGTTAAGATATTATAAACAATACAACCATGATTTTCTGTAAAGCTGCTTTGAAACAGTCTGTATGTGGAAATAGACACAAATGATTGGAGTTAACTAGATTAGATAACTGGATTATCTCAGATATTTGGTTTATGTTTATTGATTTGGCAGATATTTCATCTAAATCAGTGATTTTCTACTGTTTTGACTCTAGGGCCACTGATTTTCCATAACAATATTTGTTTATATATAGTATATGGTTTATCTGATTCATCTGCTCTGACCTAACCCTAAAACTAAAACGACCAAATAAATAAATAAAGAAAGAAAAAAATGAATAAATAAAAAAATAAAGTCAATAAAATAAACTTTAACTTCAAATAAAATATACAAAAATGTTCAGAATGATGATTTCGTAAAGTACTATAATAACTGAAACTAAATAAACTAAAGTTAATAAATAAAAAATAATGTAGACATATAAAAAATATATGTCTGGTTAATTTTCTGAAATGGAACAGCTTTGTTTTCAAAACATTTTATTTATTTGTTTAATTGACAGAAACTAGGAGTGTCCCAGAGATTCAAATAACTAAAATAATTATAATTATTATTAAAAAAATAATACCATTTCAGGATTCCAGAAGTTTTAAGAGCTTTGTATGTTCTTCTTTTCAGTCAATGAATCTGGATGATTTTTCAAGTTGTTCCTGATTTACTGGATCAGCATTAAAGATCAGGATTTTTACAAAAAAATTTAATATTTTAGAGCTTGACATAGCTATAAAAATGTATATTTATAATAAAAATGCCCGTGGCCTTTTAAGATTTGTTAAGTTTTTATGACTTTTCAGGTCTAGAAATCCGTTTTTTCAAGACTGAGAATCCTGGTTCTTCACAAACAAAAAACGGTTAAATTAAAAAAGTGAATTAAAACAACGAATATCTTGGGGTGTTTTTTAGCTGTTTTAGCTTGTTTTTGCTCTGTAAGTTCATACGTTCATCTACTGTGTTTATTGAATCAAAGATTCATCAGCATCAGCTGAGCTGCAGGAACCATCTGGATCTTTATACAGGAGTCTGGGAGGAGAAACACTGTGAATCGAATGAAGAACAGGTGTGATTTATGGTGATGGCAGTGTTTGCTCGTGACCTTTGCCCTTTGTGTGTGTGTTTTACTGTGCGGTCTCTCCTCGAACCTTTTTGCTAATGAAATGTCAGGTTGAGCTCTGAACCTGAGGTGATGTAATGTCAGGTTTTTTACATGCAGCGACCGTGTGGATTCACAGTGATGTAGTGCTCCTGTGTAACGCTGCTTTCTGAGAATCATGTTTGTGTTTGAGTCTCTAGTGCTGAAACATGCAGGAGTATTGATCTGAAGACAAACACCCGCAGGACGCATCGATGTCTTCTGCACATTCTGAATGTTCCCAAAGCATGAAATGAAAATCTCCTCATACTCCCAGAATGTTGTGAGTATGTGGACAGAAGCATCATTCATGGTTGTCTTTTGAGTATGTGATGTGTTATTTACACAGTGCGTATCTGATATTTAACTCGAACAGTCCTGTCTGATGTGTGTTCATCCAGTCTTCAGTCTGTCTGTGACCCAAATCTGCTGCTCTCTGAAAGACACTCAACACAATACAGCTGCTAAACGCCTGAAACACACAGACGAACGGCTCAGGAACTAGGACACGCTGCTGGTTTAGTCAGAAATAACCAGTTAAACTCCATTAACCTTCAATATTTGTCACATACACGAAGACTGAGGTCAGTAAGATTTTTATTGTTTCTTCAAGACGTCTCTTCTGCTCATCAAAGCTGCATTTATTTGATCAAAAATACAGTAAAAATGTGAAATATTGTTACAGTTTAAAATATCTGTTGTGTGTAATGTAAAATGTAATTGATTGCTGTGATGAAAGCTGAATTTTCAGCATCATCACCAATGTTACCCCTAATTTTTTTTTTCTTGCTGAGCAAAACTTTTCTCTATTGGACGGACATTTCGGCCACCTGAGCAAAAATATTCTTTATACCAGACCTGTCCAGCGCACACACAAAAAAGTGTGTAACTTTTAACTTTAATGTGCTGTTTATATTTGATTTGACCCTTGATGTAACTAAATGATGCACATTTTAGTTTACCTGAGAAATATTTTTTACAGTGCTGTGTTACCAAGAAATTCTAAAAAAAAAACAAAAACAAGCATTTAAACTGATAGAATAGAATAGAATAGAATAGAAAACAAACTGAAACATTTAAACAGAGATCTGTAAGCTAAATATTTTCATAAAACGTGAACATTTGAATTCAAACATCCCCATGTAGTAGAGTTTGTACACTACGTCTCGGAGTTTTGTTACTGTTCTGTGCTCATCATCCTCTATTTCCAGCACTTAATCAAGCCGCTCTTCTTTAAAACATGATGTTGTTTTATTTCACATGTTATTGCGTTTGTGTTGGCTCTCGTGTTGAGCTGTTTCATCCGCAACCATTAAAGTTTAGTATTCATGTTTCTTCTGCTTGATTTGACACGAGTGCCTTCATTTACAGTTTTTGCCTATTGTTTGAACACTTTTTGCAAAACTTCGGCTCATTGTGTCAAAACTTTACACACAAGAACAATGAACAATGTCTTCTCCATCATGTATTTCTGTTTTGTTTTGTTGTTTGTTGTCAATGTATATGTCACCATTATGTGTATCTTTTCATTTATAGTGAATGAATGTTGTATTATTGTTGGCTGTCCTTATGTTAGTTTTATGTTACCTGCCTAGGGACTGCAGATGAAAAGTAGTTATTGTTACTAATTCTGGCATATTTACATGGTGTATATTTATACAACAATGTTCATGAATATGCATGGTCCCTATTAAATAAACCAATAAATTAAAAAAAACAAGCACACAAGACACAACACTGGGAAATAAACCATTCACATCTATGTCAAATTGAAACTCTGCTATCAAAACCTAACAATCCTTTGTCAAAATGTCACTCTGATGACAAAATGATACACACTTGCATCATATGAATACACTTTCAGATTAGCAGCAACACACTAGTGTACTTTATATAAAACACTGCAGTCTTTAATTTTCAGTGTTTTTATTCAGTTCATCAGTTAGCATTCTGTGAAGCTCAATGCAACACTTACAGTTTTTGTTCTGTTTTTTTCCAACAAAGGTTTTCACAACATTACCAAGACACGTCTGATCGTGATAATGCCTACTCGATTGATATTGATGAATACTTGCCTATCTGCAAGTATTTCTTCCTGTAGCTGGTGGAGACGGATTGCATTGTTTGCTCTGACCATTTCCACAATGGCAAGTTCCTGCTGTTGGGTGAACAGGCGTTGCTGACCACCCCCAGAAGGTCTTCTAGTCATTCTGTAGAAGTTGAATAGATGTGTTTTCCCAATGGTACCCATGAGATTTCATTTATGAACGAAGTGTCTTATGTATGAAATAGTGTGTAGTGTGCAGGAGCAAGTGTGTTGCAGAATTGCAACTGAAGTGCAAAGCAGCGCTTTTGTTTAAGGTATGGTTACACTGTGTTTAAGGTATAGTAACAAAAGCTTCAAGTTTTGTCACTTTGGTCTAAGCATGTGTCTATAGTGTTCAAGCAATAGGCAAAAACTGTATTTACTCTACATGTACATTCATGCGTTTGACCAAAGAGATTCACGCTGCAGTAAAGCGACACATGTTATCAGTTCATTTCCTGGGAACTGAACCCATGACCTTGTGGTTGCGAGCTACTGTTTGAGCTAGATGAATGCCTTACCCATCATGCATCTGGTTCAGAGGCGTGTGTCCTGATGAGGGCTTTATTAGCGTGAGTGCCGCTCCGCTCGCAGCAGGGTTTCTCCTTCAGACACGTCCCCGAGTTAATCTGATCTCTGCTGATCTCAGATATGCTCCGTCCCGCTCCGTCTGTTTGTTCAGGAGACAAAGAGGATTTGGGACAGTTGGCAGCGCTCATGCTTTTAGAGAGGACGTAAGTGATTCTGAGGCCTCGTGGGACACCCAGACGTGAATGATGAGGCTGCTGAGGGTGTGAGAGACTGATGTACCGCGGTAATACTGTAGTTTACTGAACATGAGTGCCGTGTGAATATGCCGATCACACAGCAGCATGAGGTTTAGACATGTAAAGTTTGTGTGCTTCATGATCATGTGAATCACGTACTACAGATCTTAAAAGAGTGTGTCTATGTGTGCATGTGTATGTGTATACAATTTAAAATCCATGAAGTATATTTGTGTTATAGTTATACATATTTTTGAAAAACTGTTCTTGCAGTTAATATAATATGAATAAAAAAAGGCCACTTAAGTGACTAAAAGAGACTGTTTCTTAAGGACTTTTAGAAAGTGCACATTGTAATGTCAAATACATTTTTTTTTTATTTAAAGCACATTTTAAATCATGATGTTTTAATAATCTTTGTCATGTTTTAAAGAAGTACACTTATGTTGACTAACATACTAAAGCACATTTAAAGTACTTTGTCATTTAACTGTAGTGTGGTATTTGATATTACATTTCAGATGAATTATTTATTAAATATGTTGAACTGCAGCTTTATCGTTACAAGTTTCCACCTGCTTCAACTTAAAAACTTGCTGCCTTTAGTTTTTGAGTGTAATCAAACTGACCGTACAAGTCATTTAAACCTAAATTATATTAAACTTACTTTGAATCTTGTATAACCTAAAAATATTAGTTTCCATGATTCATTTATCATATCATGTACAGTGTATATTTAAATACAGACAGACAGGTTTCAATAGAAATGACATTAAAGTATATTGCAAAAACTATAATAGAATTAATTATGAAATTACATATAAAGATGTGCTACTTAAGTGGGTCAACATTTTAAATGCAATTAGTTGAACTTTACAGTATTATTCATTTTCATTTAATTGTAAATAACATGCAATTAAGTGTCCGAAAAACATTACATTCGATACATCCACAATTAAATGTTAATTAAAAGCATATTGTTTTTGTAATAAGCACTCTTTGTAGTAAAAGTATGCTCTTTTCACAAAGCTGAATCTGTTAATAGTTTCTGAGTGTGATATGTTTCAGTCTGCAGCTCTGTGTTCGTCCTTCAGGAGGTCATGTGACCCCTCAGATGGCCAGTCACATTACAGCACACGTTTACAGCATCAGCATCAATGATATGAATACAAAGTAAATGGATACGAATCATGAAGTATATCATGTGTTATAATGTACAGATCATCTGAATCAGTGCGCAGTGACCCGCTCGTGACCCCGTGACCCCTGTGTGTACAGTAGCGTCTGTTTGTGTCCGTCAGAATCACGTCTGTCTGAGAGGAGCATGAATGCGTCTGTTGTGTGACGGTGACGGGATCTTCTGGATGTAGAAGTCATTGTCTGGACTCGTGTGTGTGTGTGTGTGTGTGTGTGTGTGTGTGTGTGTGTGTGTTTGCGTGTATCCCTCAGCTCAGCGTTTCTCATTGATGCGCTGGTTCCTGGAGGACCGCGTCTCTGCTGTTCAATGCTGTTATTATTGCAACACATTGTTGCAGCTGAAATTGGTTGGTTATGAATACAAAGCACTTTAAGACGCTGAGTCAACACGCTAACAGCACACAAGGTCAGGCCCGTTCTGCTAGAGAAACCACCAGATTAGTGTTCAACTTCATGATTAATAATGTTTACACTACCACTTAAAAATTTTTATTTTTTAAAGAAATCAATACTTTTATTCATCAAGGACGCATTCAATTGATCAAAAGGGGCAGTAAATACATTTATAATGTTACAAAAGATTTCTATTTAAATAAATGCTGTTCTTTTGAACTTTCTGTTCATCTGTGAATCCTGAAAAATTTAATGTATCAGTTTCCACAAAAATATTGTGCAGCACAACTGTTTTCAACATTGATAACAATCAGAAATGTTTCTTGAGCAGCAAATCAGCATATTAGAATGATTTCTGAAGATCATGTGACACTGAAGACTGGAGTAATGATGCTGAAAATACACATCACAGAAATAAATTACAGTTTAACAGATATTCACACAGAAAACAGCTGTTTTAAACTCTAATAATGTTTCACTGTTTTTACTGTATTTTTGATCAAATAAAAGCAGCCGTGGTGAGCAGAAGAGACTCTCTCAGAAACATTAAAACACCCCAAACGTTTGAACAGTTGTGTGTGTGTGTGTGTGTGTGTGTGTGTGTGTACACAAGTTACAAGTTGTATATATACTGTATATAAGTTATTTTAAATGTATAATTACAAATATTTTGTGTGTGTGTGTGTGTGTGTGTGGTTTTAAAGGGACAGTTCACCCATAATGAATCATTTATTCTCCATCACGTCATTCCAAACCTGCACGACTTTTTTCTTCTGTGAAAAGCAAAAAAGATATTTTGAGAAATGTCTCTTTTTTTTTGTCCATACAGTGAAAATCAATGAGGCCCAGTGTGTGTGTGTGTGTGTATGTGTGTGTGTGTGTGTCATCTGTCTCTAATGGACTCCAGCAGGAAGCAGAAACAATCACCTGTAATGTGGAAAGATGTGAGGATTGCAGACGCAGAGCCAGAGCGAGTGTTACTGTGATGATGGACGTGTGTTTGTGCAGCAGCGCCGTTTGACGTCATTTACTGATATTACACGGCAACATCAACTAAACACAGTGTACTGTGGTATTCTCTGAGGAGCCATGTAAATACCACAGCTTCATGTTTCAGTGCATTGATTCTGGTCAGCAGTGGATGTGTGTTATAACACTGAGTCTGAGCGCAGAGTGAGACCTGCTGGAGATCTAGAGGAGACACACGTCAAACATCTGGAGTCTCTGCCTTCATTTGAGATCTTACAGAGACTCGTGTGTGACTCTCTGCTCTTCTCCTTTATCATTTCCATTCATTCAGCTCGTGTGTGTGTGTGTGTGTGTGTGTGTCACTGTGAGGAGATTTGAATATTAAATAGCTGATTATCATGGTCATGTGACTGTGTGTCGTCTGCTGCTGAAATGGGCAGTGAAACACAGTTCTGTAATGACAACTCTCGAAGGGATTGGCATGGTAATGTACATGACAATGTTAATGTATTTGGTCTTGGTGGAATAGATCTGCTATGCTGCTGCTGCAGCAGAGCAAGTACTGAGACTTGCTACTGCCAATACAACCACAACATGCTGCTGTGAGCATGTAAGAAATACTGCTGCTGCAAATATATATGAATAACCCCCATATAGCATACATGAATCACCTTGTAGCAGATCTATACAGGTGGAGCTGGGGAAGGTGGAGGGTTTCTGCGCCATCTAGAGTTTCATGCCAGAACTCTGTATATATATGTGTGAGTGTATGTGTGTGTGTGTGTGTCTGTGTGTGTGTGTGTGTTAGGGCTGAACGATTAATTGCATTTGCGAAAATATCGCAATATGAAAAAAAGCGTTTTTTCAATTGCAGAGGCTGCGATTACACTCGGTCACGTGACACGCGAGAGTAAAGAGGTGTGTTCGACTTGAAGATCGATCGGTGTATAACATCAAAGTACGGCGAGAGACATGCATTATATTGTGTTTTTCTGAGTCACAGATCGGATTATTTTTTCGGATAAGCAAGAAAAAAAAAATATTTAAAGCACAATGACAATGCCGTGAAGCGTTTTTGACATAGGCTAATTTTATGAGTACATATACGCAACTCGGTATTTCCGCGCTGTCTGAAACACATCTCTATGCTTGTGCGCGCTTTGATTGTGTGCGAGAACAGCACGTGAGTAACAAATTGAGCTCTCTTTCGTTTCTTCTTCTTGTGGTTTAAAATTGCTTGTACATGCAAATTGGCAAATTAAACTGCGAATCACGTGCGTGCCGAACGGTAGGGTCTCATCCGTACGGATTACGGATCAACTGCGATCCGTTTAACTCCTAATATGTGACAGATCAGAGCAATCTATAATTTACTTTTACTTAAATTGTCGAATTGCTACTCCATATCAGTCGCATACAAAGAAAATACAGAATAATTACAACAATCATTAACATAAATAACGTGCCGAACAGTATAGGGTCTCGTCTGTACATATCATGGATCAACTGCGATCCGTTTAACCCCTAATATGTGACAGATCAGAGTAATCTAAGTAATCATTTACTTATTTAACATGAAATCGTCAAATTGCTACTCCATATCAACATACAACGAAAATACTGAATAATAAGAACAATCATTAACACGCAATAAATAACAGTAATATCTATACACATTTTTCCCAGAACGTTCTTGCGACCCGGTAACATTCTTCCACGGCCCGGTAGTGGGTCGCGACCCGGTGGTTGGGGACCTCTGCCTTAGCGGACAGCATGAAACCCACAAAAAATAAATAAATAACAGAGACATACATTTTTCATAATGTAGTGAAATGATTTGGTAGTCTGAGGTGGAATGGAGATTCGGGGGAGGGGGGGAGTTTTTTTTTTTTTTGGGTTTAAGGGGGGGGCACGCCCGAAGTTCAACATATCAATCAATATACTGTGATTGTAGATGTTAAATAAAAATATCATTCATATCAATTCATGCATCACCTAATTTCGTAACATATAGGCCTGGCCTACAGAAAAGAACATTTATGTTTAATCTATGTAATATTGTGTTGGTCATACTGTACAATGATTTATAGCTTGTCTTTGTTGAATAAAACAGAACATAAAGAGCTTTAAAAAATAATTGCATAGGGAGTATGCAAATATGGAAACGAAGATGTTTTGTCTATCCTTTGATTGTTGAATGTTATAAATATTTTATGGACTTGTGAATGTATGTTAGCTATGTGTACCTGTCATCTTGCAAACTGACTTCCCAAGGTATTTGGATTCCGTTTTTAGATCTCAGTTTGAGCTTGTGGAGATTCGGTCGTCTCACATGAGAAGTGTTGCTAGGAGACCGATCACATCCCACCTGTGTGTGTGTGTGTGTGTGTGTGTGTGTGTGTGAGTGTGTCTGTGTCTGTGTGATTTAACCGGCTGATGTTGATCCTGACAGCACAAAAGCTCCGTTCACCAAGGCTGCATTTATTTGATCCCAAAAAAATTGTACAGTGATATTGTGAAATATTATTAGAGTTTAAAACAGCTGTTTTCTCTGTGAATCTCTGTTAAACTGTAATTTATTTCTGTGATCTGCAGCTGTATTTTCAGCATCATTACTCCAGTCTTCAGTGTCACATGATCTTCAGAAATCATTCTAATATGCTGATCTGCTGCTCAAGAAACATTTCTGATTAATATCAATGTTGAAAACAGTTGTGCTGCACAATATTTTTGTGGAAACCGTGAGACATTTTATTTTTCAGGATTCACAGATGAATAGAAAGTTCAGAAGAACAGCATTTATTTGAAATAGAAATCTACTGTAACATTATAAATGTCTTTACTGCTACTTTTGACCAATTTAATGCATCCTTGAGCAATAAAATTAATAAAATTATTTCTATTATATTGCGGTTTCCACAAAATGTTAAAAACATTAATAAATCTTAATTATGCTTTTGACCAGTAATGTACAGGATGTAGTTTACTGATTTCAATTAGTCTAAACTGGATCTTTGTTCATGAGAATCTGCAGCTGCTGTTTCCGTTTCAGGATGATTCTGATATCTGTGGTTTTGAATGTATGTTTGTGTGATTGTGTTCCTCAGGGAATGTCTGAAGATCTCCTGTAGTTCATGATCGCCACGGCCGTCCAGCCCAGAGCCATGAGCCACACGTCCTGCTGCGTCCTGCTGAGCGTCTCGCTCGCGCTCTCCTGCCGCCGTGAGTATCGGCGACCTCCATCAGTCCATCAGTCACGATCACAGCCAGACCGTATCTGAGCAAACTTCAGCTTCAGTCACTGTGATCACAAACACAAGATTAAACGATTATTGTGCCACTTCTGATTTACAGTGATTCTTTATTTGATTTATTTTTAGTTGTTTTTCAGTTGAATTATATTTAAAGTTCAATGAAATCCACTGTTAAAATTTCTAAAAGTTTTTTTTAAAGGGGTGGTTCATTGCAATTTCACTTTTTTAACGTTAGTTAGTGTCTAATGTTGCTGTTTGAGCATAAACAATATCTGCAAAGTTATGAAGCTGAAAGTTCAATGCAAACGGAGATTTGCATTGAATCTTTTAAAATTCTGGCAGTTTAATGCCTACAAAAACGGCTCATAGGGACTACAACAAGTTACTTCCTGGGTTCGTGACATCACAAACCCAGATAAACCCCGCCCTCGGGAAAAGGCAGCAAAGGGGGCGGGGCCATGCTGCGCTGCTTTAGAGAAGAGGAAGAGAAAACTAGAGGTGCACGTAAAAATCTATTCATATATGAATCGTGATTCTGTCTTCTAACGATTCTAATGGATTCACAAGTTTCAAAATCAGTGTTCTGAAGCAGCGGTTCTCTCCTCGCGTCGCCCTGCTCTGCACACACTCTGCATCTCTCTCTCGCGCTCTCTCTCTCTCTCTCTCATTCAGCTCAGCTCCAACAATGAACTGTTACAATTATACACTTATTTTCACATATCTATGAGAAGCGTTAAACATGGACGCGCGTACAGTTGCCGTACTGTACTAAAGTTTTAATCAGGATAAAACCGTATATTAAAAGCTAACATAAGCAGTAGCATTAGGTAAATTATGTGAAAAATTATGCGTTTTTTAAAAAAACTAAGCATTAACACATAAAAAGTCAGTGCATAATTATGTTAAAAATTCTGATTTACAATGCTTCTTTATCTTGTTTATTTAACTTTTTTTGTTTTTCATTTGATTTCCTACTATTTCAGTTGAAATAAAAAAAGTTTTTTTTTTTAAGTTCAATATAGTTCAATATATACTTTCGCTTCCAGAGTCGTGTTATAATCGTGTTAAATAATTCTCGTTGATTTACAATATTTTTTATTTAATTTTTTTATAAATTGTTTTCAGTTGAATTATTTTTTATAAATCCACTGTAAAAAAATTCTTATTTCATTTTTTTAAAGTTCAATAAATGCACAGTATTTCCAAATACAAAATCATGTTTAATAACATTGTTAAATGTTTTTAAAAAATGTAAAAGTTCAGTAAATGCATATTTCCTAAGTATCATGATGATAATATTAATATATTTGTGATAATCCAGCATAATATCTCTAATCTGAACACTTCAGTCACTCTTAAAGATCTCTGCATGTCATTCTTCATACAGAAAGATGCTCAAACTCACTTGATGTTTTTGCAGTGATGTTCTCATTCGACTCGTATCGTAAAATCAATCAGGCAGAAATAAAGAGATGCATTCAATCGTTATGGGATGTTTTGGGGTTTAAAATGAATCAGGACTCAGAAACTCATCAAGCATCTACAGATGATGTGTTTTTTGTGATTCTCTTTCAGTCTGGTCAGTGTGTGCTGATTTCCCAGCAGTCTTTGGAGGTGAGTACAGCACAGATACAGTCTCAGCTGTTGGTTTACAATGCGATTTAATTAGGTTTATTTCAGTTCAGATCATCCCAAAATATGAAACCACATTACATTTTAAGTTTAGACAAACATCTAGATGGAAACCTGGTTAGGACACACTGAGACATTACGACAGTACAAGCTGCTGAAGGACTGTCTTCATACACAATTACATAATAATTATACACAATTTTACGTATTAACTGAAAACATGTAGGCTGAAGCCGTTTTATGGGGGCCTTATGGAATCGTTTTTATTTTTTTCCCAAATTCCTTTTATTTTATTTTTAGTTTTAATTTTCTGGATATTTTTTTCTTCCATTTGAATTTTTCTGGATTCCTTTTTAATGATTTAATTGAAATTGTAATAATTCAAAAAGGCATGTCTAATTAATTAAAATCCTACAATTCAATTTTTGTAGGGCCCTGTGAAATCAGTTTTATTTGGGGTTTTCCATTTATACATTTCTGGATTTCGTTTTAATGTTTTAATTAAATTATACTCGTTAAAAAGCATGTCTAATTACTTACACTATTATTACACTAATAATTTATTAATTTTGTTTTACAATAAAAGCGACATATGAAATGTTTTATTCTTTCAGAATTTCTGCATTGTCCATTTTAATTTGTCTGAATTATTTTACATAAGCATAATAAGCATCGCATAGTGTCACTAAATTTAATTAACAGTTAATTGAGACCTTTATACATAACTGAAAATGACACCGTTCATAAATGAATGTAATTGTTTGAAGTATTTGATGATTTAGAGTGCTGTATTTGTTCATCACCTCCAGTAAAGTGTGTGTGTTTGGTGCGAATCTGCAGTGTTCAGTGAAGATCACAGGCGTTACAGTGATTCAGGGCTCTAATAAAGACACGGGTTGAAGAGCAGGGCATTGTGGGAGATCAGAAGATTAACTGTCTCTGACGGCCCCCACCCGTTCTCCATCAAAGCCTCGGGAGCCCGTTTGCTGATTCCTGGAGAGACTTTGATCTCTGCGTGACTGCATGCAGTTCACAAACCTTACAGAGCTGCAGCACGTCAATCACCCACAATGCCTCAGCCACGCACGCCCCCTCACTTCAGGAAACACAGATGAGTTCACTATCAGATGAGCTCATTCTCACAATCATCATGAAATCAGAACTGAATTCAGCAGCTGCTGTTAGAAATATTATTTATTCCAGCACCAGTCTGTGATGTTTTCAGATTACTGGATTATTTATTGGCGTCAGATTTTTAGTGACGTTTACCCCGGTAACATACTTTGCTTGTCTGGTGAAGTCAAGCGGCGATGGTTGCTAGGGTGTGACAGGTCAGTGATTCTCTGCTCACACACACGTGAAATATTTACTCAAGAGGCTGTGTTTGACTGGACACCAGTGGCGGCTCGTGGGTTTTAAAATAGAGGAGGCACACTAATTGTATTGGTCTGGGATCCCTGCCGATT